CACTCCCTTCTTGATTTTAAACCATGCAGTATCCCCTTGTTTTGTTCAAATGACAGCCTCTTGGTCTATGTGCAGGTTCCACATGAGCACAGTTAAGTGTTCTGGAATTCCCATTCTTCCTAATGTTATCCATAATTTGTTATGATCCACACAGTCAAATGCCTTTGCATAGTTAATAAAACACAGGTAAACATCTTTCTCACTTTCTTTATTTTTAGCCAAGATCCATGTGACATCAGCTATGATACTCCTCATTCCATACCCTCTTCAGAATCTGCTTAAATATCTGGTGGTTCCTTGTCAATGCACTGCTGCAGCCATTTTTAAAATATTTCCACCAAAATTTTACTTGCTTGCAATATTAACAGTGCTGTTCGGTGATTTCCGCATTCTGTGGGATCACCTTTCTTTGGAATGGGCACAAATATGGATCTCTTCCAGTCAGTTGGCCAGGTAGTGTCTTCTGGTTTTCTTGGCGTAGCCGAGTGAGTGCCTCCAGCGGGACATCTGTTGGTTGAAACATCTCCGGGGGTATTCCGTCAGTTCCTGGAGCCTTGTCTTATGCCGCTTCCTTAAGCACAGCTTGGGCTTCCTTCGTTACCGTCAGTTCTTGACCGTACACTGCCCCCTGAAATGGTTGTATATCGACCAGTCCTTCTTGGGACAGTGTCTCTGTGTATTCCTTCCATATCTTTTTGATGCTTCTTGCATCATTCAATATTTTGTCCTTAAACCAGAAAACCAGACTCACTGCCATTGAACTGGAGCCGACTCATGGCGACCCCTCCTTGGGTTTCCGAGGCAGTATCACTACGGAAGTAGATTGCCCAAGCGTCCTTCCGAGGAGTGGCTGGTGGGTTTGAACCGCCAGCCTTCTGGTTAGCAGTCAGATGCCTTAGTCACTAAGCCACCAGAGCTCCCTTAATTATTGCAACTTGAGGCTTGAATTTTTTTCTTCAGTTCCTTCAGCTTGAGAAATGCCAGATGTGTTCTTCTCCTTGGGTTTTCTAACTCCCAGTATTTGTACATTTTATTATAATACTGGCTTTGTCTTCTTGAGCTGCTCTTTGAAATCTTCTGTTCAACTCTTTTACTTCATCATTTCTTCCATTTGCTTTAGCTACTCTCCATTCAAAAGCAATTTTCAAAGTCTCTTCTGACTTCCATTTTTGTCTTTATTTCCTTTCCTGTCTTTTTAATGATGGCTGATGTTCTTGGCATCATCCCACAATTCGCCTAGGTTTTGGTTATTGGTGTTCAGTGTATCAAACCTGTTCTTCTCATGGTCTCTAAATGCAGATGGAATGTACTCAAGGCTGTATTTGGGCTCTCGTGGACTTGTTTAATTGTCTTCAGCTTCAGCTTGAACTTGGATGTGAGCAGTTGATGGTCTGTTCCACAATCAGCTCCTGGCCTGGTTCTGACTGATGGTACTGAGCTTGTCCGTTGCCTCTTTACACAGATGTAGTCGATTTCACTCCTGTGTGTTCCATTTGGTGAGGTTCATGTGTATAGTTGCCATTTATGTTGTTGAAAAAAGGTGTTTGTGATGAATAAGTCTTTGGTCTTTCAAAATTCTGTTGTAGCATTTCTGTCACCAAGGCCATATTTTTGAACTACCAGTGATTCTTTGTTTCCAGCTTTCACATTCCAATCATCAGTAATAATCAGTACATTTTGATTGCATGTTTAGTCAATTTCAGACTGCAGAAATTGGTAAAAATCTTCAATTTCCTTGCCTTTGGCTTTAGTGGTTGGTGTGTAAGTTTGAATAATAGTAGTACTAACTGGTCCTCATAGGCAGATGGGTATTAGCCTATCGCTGACAGCATTGTGCTTCAGGACAGATCTTGGAATATTCTCTGTGATGATGAATGCCACTCCATTCCTCTTCAATTTATCATTCCTGGCATAGTACACCATGTGACTGACTGATTCAAAATGGCCAGCACCAGTCCATTTCGGCTCACTAATGCCCGGGATATCCATCTTCATGCATTCTATTTCATTTTTGAAACTTCCAATTTTCTGAGATTCATACTTTGTACATTCCCTGTTTTGATTATTAATGGATAATTGCAGCTGTTTCTTCCCATCTTAAGTCATGCTACATCAGCCAATGGAGGCCCCAAAAGCTTTACTCCATCCATGTCGTTAAGGTCAACTCTACTCTGAGGAGGCAGCTCTTCCCCTGTCGTATTTGGAGTGCCTTCCGACCCGAGGGGCTCGTCTTCCAGCACTGTGTCGGACAGTGTTTCAGGGCTGTTCGTCAAGTTTTGGTGGTTAATTTCTTTTGGAAGTTGGCTGCCTCTTTCTTCTTCCTCATCTATCTTAGTCTGGAAGCTCCGCTGAAACCTGACCGGCGTGGAGGACTCTGCTGGTGCTTGAAACACCAAGGGCAGAGCTTCTGGCATCACAGCAACACTGGAGCCACCAGTATGACAGACGAGACAGATGGGTGGTGTCCGTGGGCCCACAGAGCATGTTGCTGTGGGGTAGATACCACATTAGCAGCCATCTTGCTTGGTTGCCAACTTGCCTCTGTTTTAAAGCGTTGGGGTTTCTGTAGCTCTGACCTCAGCTTCTAGACTTGCATGGTCATACCTCATTTGCATAGTTGTGTCTTATTTGCATAGTTGCACCTCATTTGCATGGCTGCACTCTGCAGTTTCTCCTGTCCATCTTGCGTTACTCTTGGTTTCAAGGTATGCTACGATATACACCATGTTCCCGGTGTTCTCATTGGTGCTGGACCAGGACGTGCGGCCAGAGACGGCGCTGCTGTACCCAGAGCTCTACAAGGACCTCACCAAGGTGCGTGTCCCCACCTGACCCACAGGCGTGCTGGGGAACCTCCCAAGGATGTCTCCTGTCTGGAAGTCCCCAGCTTCGAAGCTGGGTAGGGGGTGTGTCTCCCAGAATCTTGCCAGGAGGTCCTTGAGAAGTCCTGGGGAGCAGTGGTCACCCTGCACCCTGCTGTGTCGTCAAAGCTCTGTCTGCGCACAGCCACACCCACCTGTTCACACATTGTCTGTGACTGCTTGTGCTGTCACAGAGAGTGTGGCCTGCTAACCCCAGAGTCCTTCCTGTCTTTTCAGAGGAGCTGGCAGGTAAGTAGTGGGCTCAGTGTGTGAAGTAGTTTGGATACCTGGGGGTTGCACATTCCCAGCTGCTTGAAAATGCCTGACTAAACCTGCCCTGCTGCCCTGCTGACTGCCCTGGTCTGCTGTCACCCTAGGGAAGATCCTTGTCCTTCAAGACCTTCCTCATCTGGGTTTTGATCAGCATTTACCAAGGTAGGACGGGCCCTGGTTTTGCTGGAACCAAGGTGTTTTCACCTTCTGTGACCGACTTTGTCTCCTCCTCCACTTTAAATTTCAAAAGCTTAGAACAGCATCAGCGGTTACATGTGGCTCCTGTTTATTTGGTGGGAGGTATTCCAACAGGTAGGGTTTACATCTCTTCGTGACGCAGTGTGGCTCGCTGACCTGTGTGGAATTAGGAAATGGGCAGTAAGCACTGCCATGGCGTCACCCACACAGTGGCCTTGGTGCAGGGAGCCGTGGCAGGGCGGGGCGGGGGCATTGGGCACCTAGAAGTCCGTGAGCGTACTTTGTGTGGTGCAGGTGCAGGGCATTGTTGGCAGGGTGAGCACAGGTAGACCAGGCGTGCTCCCCCGGGCCGGGGGTAGATGCCCTGCTTGCAGTGCAGGCGTGGCCCTTCACACGCTAGCACGAGCCTGAGCCTCCACCTGGGGGCTCTGCCCGCCGGCCACATCTCACCCCACTCGTAATCCAGACTCTGAAATAAGTTCCCCACAGCTGGTGTTTGTGTGCGAGCAGAGCTCTGCCTCCGGGGGCTGCCACCGGCTCGCCCCCCCATCCCTGTGCCTGGCTGGTGGGCGGGGCCGTCAGCCTGAGGCTGCCTCCCCTCTTCCCAGGGGGCATCCTCATGTATGGTGCGCTGCTGCTGTTCGAGGCGGAGTTCGTTCACGTGGTGGCCATCTCCTTCACGGCGCTGGTCCTCACGGAGCTGCTGATGGTGGCGCTGACCATCCGCACGTGGCACTGGCTGATGGCCGTGGCCGAGCTCCTGAGCCTGGGCTGCTACCTGGCCTCGCTTGCCTTCCTGAGCGAGTATTTCGGTGAGTTGCTGCAGGCGCTCGGCTGAACGGCGGTGGCTCGGTGGCTCCGCAGCCCATTCTTGATGACATCCTGCTTAGAGCACGAGGAGACCCGCAGCAGAGGGCTCGGTGACAGCTCCTCATGGGGGGGGAGGTGCAGCCCCGCCCACCCAGATGTCACAGGCCTGCAATGGCAGAACATCCCTCGGGGCCCAGGCGTAGCAGGGGCGTCCTGGGCCGCACAGCAGCAGGCTGAAGTTTCCTCCAGTTATTTTCTAAATTGTGGTGAAAATGTTCACAACAAAACTTGGGGCCCAGCAGCTTCTGCAGATGCACGTCAGGGACACTGACACCATTCTGCCGGTGGCCCCACAGCCGTCCTCACTGTCCGTTTCCAAAGCCTTCTGCGCCCAACCATAGACTCCCTGCCCCTGAGCACTGACCCCTCCACGGCCCCGGCGCGGCTGCCCACTGCCGGCCTGGGGTCTCTAGTGTTGCCTGGCGCGAGCACGTGGGCTGATTCTGAACTCAGCCTTGTGCGGCTGCTCAGTGTGCTCAGCAGGCTGGGCTCTGGGTTCACCCACGTGGTGGCGAGCTTCAGGCCTGGGTTTCTCCTTAGGCCTCAGGGGTCGTCCTCTGTGTGGACACACCACGGTGTGCATCCATCTCTGGGGGGGCAGTGGTGGAGCAAGGTCAGCACCTGTCACTACTCCCTGTCTCTTGGCTTTGTACCTAAAAGTGGGACTGCATGGGAGTGCCCCCGTCAACCTCGTGGCTCTAGTCCTAGAAGAGAGACTTTGGGTAGATACTTTTAAGTTACAGTCATTAGCAGTTCTCACTTACATGTGAGAATTACACCAGGCAGTGACATGGAAGCACTGTAACCACACAGAGGGACGTACTTCACGGCGTGCTGTCTTCTCCCGTGTACTCTGCGTGTTAGCTCACCGCACAGACGGACGTACTTCACGGTGTGTTTTCGACTCCCGTGTACTCTGTGTGTTAGCTCACCGCACAGACGGACGTACTTCGCGGTGTGCTGTCTTCTGCCGTGTACTCTGCGTGTTAGCTCACCGCACAGATGGACGTACTTCACGGTGTGCTGTCGACTCCCGTGTACTCTGCGTGTTAGCTGTCGATGTAACGCCTGCCTGCCTTAATCTGTCCTCTTCTTTATTTCCGTTTTATTTGTAACAGGTATTGGCAGAGTGTCCTTTGGCGCTTTCTTAGGTAGGTGATATTATCGATTCCTTCAGAACCTAGAAACTTAGACAGTCTTGCTAGAAGGCCTTACCTGATCAGTAAACTCTTTAATGAACTTCCCGTTTCTCACTAACTCTTCTTGTGACATCAGGCGAGGGTCTGACACGTGCATCTTCTGCTTCTAAGATGCCCCTGCCTTTAACGGTGTCTGGCAGCCGATCAGGGTGCGTGGGGCTCTGTGGGCTTATTAGACGTATGCATGGCCACAGGTGATGGTGACACACACACCCCTCACCAAGCTTTTACCTCCCCTTTCGCGTCTGAGCGCCCGGACAGCACTTCAGGGCTTTTCGAAACTCGGCTCAGTATCACTGTGCAGTGCCCTTGTGGCCTCCGATCCAGGAGACATCGCCCAGGAGTTTGTGTAAAAGCCTGTGAATCCCTGGAGAGAGGCTTTTCATCCTGTACTCAACCGCACAGGAGGGAGGGTCTCCATCTGTACAGAGTTGACTGCACATGTCAGGCCCTTCACGTGCCTCTGCCCACCAGAGATTTAAAGAGCGGCATTACCAGTGCTGTTCTCCCGGTGCGAAGCGAGACTCGCACTCAGGGCTGCGGGCTGCTGGGAGCACAGGCCCCAGGGAGAGCGTCAGGAGGTTGCACCTTCAAGGACCCATGTCACCTGTGTCTTGTGGTACCCAAACCCCAGTACAGTTAAAAGAAGAAATCTGCCCAAGTGGTTGAAGCCAGCCACAAAGCAGAGGTGGTTGTCACTAGTAGACCAGGTGTGGGGGTAGCTAGGGCCTCAGTGGTTCCCAAGTGCAGGAGCCCTGGTGGTACAGTGGTGAAGGCACTCAGCTGCCCACCAAAACGTTGGCAGTTCAAATACACCAGCTGCTCTACATGAAAAGGTTGAGGCAGTCCACTTTAGTAAAGGTGACACAGCCTTGGAGACTGTGGTGCAGTTCCATCCTGTCCTCTAGGGGCGCTGTGAGTGAAAATTGACTCCACGGCAGTGGGTGTGGTTTGGGCTTTGCTTCCGTGAAGACTGACAGCCTTGGAGACCCTGTGGGGCAGTTCCACTCTGTCCTCTAGGGGCCCTGTGGGTCAGAATGGACTCCACGGCAGTGGGTGTGGTTTGGGCTTTGCTTCCGTGAAGACTG